CATCGTGTAACCGACTTCATATTACAAAATAATATACATATACATATACAAATTGACGTCATTTCCCAATTCGGTTTTGTTTTTGTTTTTTTTTTTTATTAATTTAATTTAAAATTTGTTTAAGTGTAGTTTGTTTATAACGATTTATGTAACTTTTGTTGTGTTTTGTGTTCATAATATATGAAATTCTGTTTAAATATATATATATATATATTTATATATATTTACTGTTTCGTATGCAAATAAAAAAAAAATAGATTAACTTAGCTAGATTTTCATATGACTTAAATACTGTTTGCGAATATAATGATTTAACGCTTGATAGTGATATTTTTTATTTTTCTACTTTTGATTTTCGATTTTTTTGTTTTGATGCGGGTCTTTGATTAATGTTCGAATTTGAAAGTGAGAAAATAAATATAAATTATGATTAAATCAGCGTAAGTAAATAAAAAAAAATTATTGCATGTTTCGTTCGAGTTGCGAAGTTCGAAATATACTCATCTAGAATATTTTTGTTCAAACTTCAAAGCACAAAAATCATAAAAAAGTAGTAAAGAAATCTAAGGAAATTAATTCAATTTTTTTTATGTTGAAATGCATTTGGACCTAGTCGTTTTCACCTAAAATGCTATTACATAGTATTTATGACTCATAAGATCCATTTAAATCTTCTGAAATATATTTGAAATTAAAGAAAATGCACTAAAAGCTTCTCGTAAGAATCTATCAGCTGTTCGGAGATGCCTTATTTGCTTCAATCTTTTTGTAAAGTCGTCGATATATCTTATAAGTTATATAAATTTATATTTGTAAATTGAATATATTTACTAACTAAACTCTCTCCAAATTTTTCTAATTTGCCTTAATATAATACATTCGAATTAAGTTTTGAGGTAACTAATGTTGTAAACTTTCAAAAAGCAAAAATGGTCGTATTAAATTAATAATTTCTCATTTTATTATCCTTATTATATACAAGAGCGGTGGTGAAATTACAAGTACATAGCTGAACGCAAAATATTAAAAAATAAATGATTAACTAAAAAAAAATTATTAATCTTATATTGAATGTACTGCAATATGATGTGCGTAATTATTAAAAATATGTCAAAATAAATATTACAGAAATTTCGGAATATTACCTGAATATGTTTGCCTTCGATTCAGAAAATTTTATTTAACAGATTTTTTATTTTAAAATTTCCATTAATTTTTTGTTGATATGCGAATGCAAATCAAACATAAGATGGCTAGCATATAAATATAAGGATTTTCCAGGCCAGAAAATTTTATTTTATTCACGGAGATCACGACCTCTGGTCCAAAAATTAAAATGCATATGTACCAATGCAAAGCTATGGTATGGATAACTACTCTGAGGGCCATCGCAAAAGGTTTCTTAGAAATTGAAAGCTGACTCGACTGTCGATCAGCGAGAAAAATTATGTACGCGATAACAAAGCAAAATGGTAAGTATTTGTGACTCCCAACCGATGAATGAGCCTCCAGCCACAGTCGGCATCTAAACTAAATTATTTACGCTGACGTCGCGATGGTAGAAAAACACGATCTGACCAAGGATTCATTTTATTTTCACGCCAAAGAAAGAACGTGTTTTTTGGGTCATATCTAGAAAAACAGAAGCCTTTTCTCCTGAGCGTACTAACCAAGGCTCCAAAATCAGCTCTGACCACCACCTTCTAGCAGCTTACATACGCGGCCGTCTCATTCAAAAACGCACATTAACAATTAACAAACACAGGTTAGATATTACTTTTGAATTACTTTACAGTTTAGATTTTACTTTTTCAGACTCTCTTCGAACTGCTATTAGAAAAATCATTGATTCTTGGCGTATTTGAAAAGGAGCTAGTATGATGAAATATTTTCACAATTTTCTGCAAGGCATGCCATAGAAAGTAGATAGATACCAAGTATTAAAGAGAGAAGACATGCCACACACTTTTAATGTCGGTAAAAAGATGAAGCCAAAAGGTGTAAGCATGAATGGGTTATTGAGAAGCTTGCTCGTATAAGAAATGCTTGATAGTTCACCTAATATTTTAATCATATATTGAAAAAACCTTAAAATGTATATTATATTATAATATATTTGTCACATTTTATATTTTCCAGTAAAGTTTCGCGTCGAATAAACCGTTAAAAATCGTGTTTAATATCTTGATGAAATCTCTCACCATGTTCATCCGATACTAGTCAAAGTTTGGGTTGTAAGAAATCCAAGTGAGAGTTCAAAGAATAAATTTTAAAGACAAGTTACACCCTAAGCCTTTAGAAAAAGAAATAAGTTATGTGACAGTATCTTGGTAGTTTTCACTTTCGACGAAAGCAGTTCATGATCCATTTGCGGGCTCGTTCAATTTAATTGTGAAATTTGTGTACTTCATTAGCTCGCGTATTTAAGGACCTACAAAGATTCCTACTTTTAATTTTGCATTGCTGATTCAGGGGAAATAAAAACAGATCAAGATTCATTGAATATTTCATACTGATATATTTTTGTTTAAACTAGTTTTTCCCTGCAGACCAGTGTAATTCGTGAAAAATTTTACAAATAATTTGTATGACAAACAAAGTTGTATCTGAAAGGAAAGGATAATCGGCACAAAAAAAATATATATACTCATAATAATTGATAAGTGATTATTCGATGAATATGAAATGAATTAGGGGAAGTGCAGCTTATGGAGTTGGATTAAACTTTTCAAATTTCAAATACATACAAATGCAAATAAGAATGTATTGTATGTAATAAGGTAGGAAATTATGCTGGTATATTCGAGTATGTTATAATGACTAGATGCCTGCTATGATGGTTTCTTCATATGTAAAACATACCTATGAGCGTACAGTATAAATCAAACTAAATATTATAAATACAATTCTCTAGTGTACATATATACTTGTCTGCACAAATATATTTCTCTTATATATTTATATTATAAAAAGCGGAAAAAGACGAAATAAGTAATAGAGCTCATCTGCACTAAACCAGACTCAACCTCCTTCTGTGACTGCTATTGTAAAAGAAAGAAGGCGACCGAAAACCAACCAGTTTCAATACCTTTCTTTCCTGTATTACTGTTTCAATATTTTTTTACTACATCTACAACTGTTTTGGAATTGTTTTTTTTTCTTACTGCAATTTTAGAAAATATATATTTGTTTTTAATTTTAATTTTGTATGTAATTTTGAATTGAAGTAAAATGCAAAATTGGCCAAAAGAGCTTTGTTATGAATTTGAAGACTGCGATTGGTTGTTGTTGGATAGTTAGTTGCTAAATAAATGAAGATGGCAGTTTCATAAGGAGCGCTGAATTTGAATTTGAATTTGAATGTATTTGTAGTTAAAACTGTTTCAAGTGAGGAATACTTTGTACTAACATAATTAAACGCTGATGATATAAAGTTGGGTAATTGAATAAATAAGGTAAGAATTAAAATGGAAAATATCATTAAATTTAGAGAATAAATGAAAGAACGCTGTTTTTTTTTATTTCCCTACTAAAAAAAAATCAGATATAATAAAAATAAAACAAATAAAAAAAATTGAAAATATGAAAAGAAAACCCTATTCAAAGACAAAGAAACACAAATTGTGCGCCATTTTTGTATTAAGAACCTGTTGTTGGGTGAAGCAGTGCCTTATCCCGTAGTACATATATTATTACAGTTAATCACATAATATTACACATTATTTTTAGCACGCGCAAGAGGATAAAAATTGTATAATATTAATATCAACAATATTATAACTACGCAGAAAAAAGGGTGGAAAAGATTTATAAAAAAATGTCTGCATATAATTTTTACAAATCTTAACTTTTGAGCGCACAATGAATGCAAGTATTTATGTACATTTCTATACTATATCTTTATAAAAAATATTAAACAATTTATTTGAAATTCACTTTTTGGGTTAATGTCTTTATTGAGGAAAGTATTTATCAAATTAATTAATTAATTATCAAAATTTTTTCAATTTTTTATTAAAGTTAATAGAAGAAAAAAACATTATTTCCAAAAACTCTATGTTCAAAGCCTTTTTTTCCGTCGAGTTCAAAATTTTCGCCCATTACTTGCGCAGCGCTTTCCTGCCGCTTTTGGCCCTAAATTCACTGCGTACAATAATTGAGTGCTTTTCTGAGTTTTAGTATCTGTTTGTTTTAAGATATTTTTGAACTAGCATGTATGTTGTATTTCTGTTGAGAAATTATGTTAAAGTAAACTGTTTTCATAAATTCACAATTTTATTATAGTTTTTCATTTAATTCCTACTAAACTCAATTCAAATTAATTACCTCATATTTACCATTGGATTTTCAAGTGTTATTTCAAAATACTAAAAATTATTATGTATTTCACATATACATATGTATTGGCTTAAAAAATAGTAATCCAAAATACACTTATTGTTCATCATGATAACGCGCGTTTACCGCAATATACAAATGTGCCAAGTAAGCAGCTAACATATTAAGCTTTCATGAAATTTTATACCAAGCGCAAAAGCTTTCACTAAAACTTATAACGACATATTTAAGGTTCAATAAAATATTGTTATTATTTATATATACTCTACTTTTGAAACCAATAAAAGTTTGTAATTTGGGGAGAAAATACCTAACGGAAATACTTAAGGCACACAAGTTTTTCTGCTTAAAGAAAAAAATATATATATAAATAGGTAGCTTATATGTAGGTAATACACAAAACTTTTTCACTGAAAAAAATTTCAACTATATAGAAATAAGTTTCTATGTTTTTATGCAACTAATTTTTTGTGTAAAAATAAATTATTACTCTTTTAAAATACACTACATACCTACTTGTTTATATATAGATATATATACGCTATAGTAAAATCCTTTTTAAAATAACTCTTTGCGGCAAATAAATTACAATATTTCTGTATGAAACTAGTTTATTAGAAAAATATATATAAAATAATAGGAATAATTGTATTATTACTTACAACTTTCGATTTCTATATGACATAGTTGTCGATCCATAGGAAAATATTGCAAATTCATTGGACAAGATGCGGTAATTGTTAATCTGTAAAAATATATTTGGCAAGGAAATGTTAGAGAAAAAAATATTAAAAATTTGTAAATTGTTTAATTGATTTATTACACATTTGTTTGTTATTATATTATTTGTTTATATATAAATATTCATAAACGTATTAATAAATATATACATATAAATGCAAAAGTAAAATAAAATAAAATTCTAAAACATTTATAAGCATTTTACAATAAAAGCAGGCTACAATATGGATATTCAAGTGCGGCAAGAAAAAGTTTAAATGTGATATATATTTATATATTAAAATTAATATATACAAATATATATATATATACTACATTTATGTCAACAGATAGCTAAACAGATTTCTACGCGATGCGCCTTCCTGCTCTCTGATGAGTGCACTCAGTAAAAGTGAACTGCTCCTGTGAAAGCTCCTTACAGCCGCCAATGAAAGCATTCGACGAGGTGAGAAGTAGAGCCAATACGGAGAATAGGTCTTGTTTTGCCGCAGTGGAGAGAAAGAGACTACCTCGCGTGTGAAGAATATACGAAAAGCTTAAGAGCGAAGAGACACGCATTTGCGCAAAGAAAAAGAGAAACGCCAAAACACGCTAGTATGAAGAGTTTGAAAATCATGCTGGCGGAGTTAAGCTCGAAAACTCTTTGAAAAATGTGATAATTTACAAAAGGTTTCTAATCCAAGCGTGGTCCAAAGCTATAATCTGGCGACATGCATAAGCTTCTTGCAAAATTTTTGTCCGATGAATAAACGCTAAGTATGCTCTGCCGAATCTTAAAAAGTTGGAACTGCTCAATATTAATGCTGAATAAGTATCCTCATTTTTTTATAAGGTTTTATGGAGGATATTGTGTGAAAGTCTAAATTGCACTTTCATCGAACCTGAATCTTATCAGCATGATTTCAGAACTGAGAAATGTGCCAATGATCAGATATTCACAATGCACCAAGAAGAAGAAAAGATGATCGACACAAAACACCTCGAAAGACGAAAAGAAGCTGCCTCTTTGCGGGGTTTCCAGCGAAATTTGAACTCTGAGCAACACTGGCAGCTTTATCGGAATAGGGAGCGGTGACTCTCTTCAATGCAATTTATTTCTTATTTATGCGTTTGCTATTTTAAACTCCTTGTTAATATAATATAAGGTTTTTTTTTACCTCTTTCGAAGCACAATTTTTTGCAGGTACATGGGGGATGACCACAATCTGTTGCATTGGCGCTGAGAATTTTCAAGATAAAGGTTTTGGGAACAATTTATGAAGCTTTACACATTGTCTACGACGAATGCTGCAGACGATGGCACGATGAGCGAGAGGCAGACGATGACGTTGCTTTCAGCGAACGGCGTAGGGAAGAATCGACTGACACCCCATTATTGAATCGGCTACAGTCGTGTGCCTACGCTAATCAAGAAGAATAAAACTTTTGTGTATAATTTATTGTATTTATACAATATGGCAGAAGTTTTCTGTTTCCATCGACAACATATGTAGTTGGCGGAAAGGCTTTTCAATTCACTTTCTTCTTTACGTTTGCTTGAATATCCATGTTTAGCTTAAGCACCTAAGCGGTGTTTTAAATGTTTTTTTTTCTATTAAACAATGTTTGCTTTTATTAAATAAAGGTGATAAATTATACGTCAGCGAGTTCAATTGGATTGTTAAAAAAAAGTTTATATTTTAATTTTGTTTTTACTGAGCATACAGTACTCAATATATGTGTATGTATGTAGTTTTATCGATCTTTATTGTTATGTAGCAGGTAAATAATTGCTGGCTACACTAATGGGCACTAATTGGCAAACTAATTTCTAACTTGAATAATTTTGGCGGATTTTGAATACATTTTTTGTTTGTGTGTGTCATCAGCGAGTTTTTAATTAAGCTATATATAAATGTTAATATTTGTATTTAAATAAAAAAATATATATATATTAAATACTTCTCAGCTACTTTTTACAAAATAATACAATTTGTTTGGGTTTCTGTTTTCTAAAATACATAAAAACCTTGATACTTATAATTTATGGCGTGCATATGCATTTTCATAGTTCATATATGTATGTATATATTTTTTAATGTACATTTGCATAAGAGTATTATAATAATATTGTTGTAGGCAAGAAAAAAAGGAAATTAAATGCATATTTAACCCTACTTTTTACATACATATATTTCCGCTAATAATGCTTTTTATAAATTTCTGCATTACCTTTTATTAATTAATTTTTTTTTAGCTTTTTGTAAATGTATATGTATGTATATGTATTAATGTATGCATGTATTATTTTGATATATATTTACAAGCATATGTATTTATTAGTTATATGAGCAACGAGTATGTGTTAAACATTTTATTAACGAACGACTTACTTACACGCCATTATCAGTTTTATGCTTTTTATTATGCTAACTCACGCTCATTTTATGCTTGTGCATGTCCATTTTTAGTTTTTTCGCATTTCTATATGCAAATCTCCTCTTTTGCAACGACGTCCTAGTTGTCCCTCTAATTTGTATTTTGCTTTGGTTAGCAGAAGGGGTTTTTTTTTTTTGAATAATTAATTGCATTTTGTTTTGCTTGCTTTTGGACAGATTCTTGTTTAAAGGTAGTAGAAAATATTTCTCCAAGGAGCGCAAACCTTTTTACGGTGTAAAATACACGTACACTTTGGTTCCTAGGATTTTTGCTTGTTTTAGATTTGAATTTTTTTATTTTTTTTTGTATAAACTTTTTGCGTGTGTTTTTGTTAGGTTTTTATGTACACATGTATGTTGTGTATGAAAATGTTTTAGAGATATGTATGTGTATTATTTGAATAAAAAAACTGCCTCTCCACCGTATATTTCAAGAGAGAGTCACGGATGATAATTGCAGAATAAAATACTTTCTATGGTTTATTTATTTTCCTTTAAAACGTAAAATTTAATAATAAAGGGTATTCTTTTTAGTCAAATGGTTTTCAATTATAAAATACTCCTCGATCGATCACAACACGTGCGTTGCCTGATAGATATGGTGAGCTGAAGAGGGAAGCAAGATACATTTGTAGACAAAAGAGAAAGAGGCCGAAATGCGTGAGTATTAAAAGTGTGATGTTCGATGTTTCTACGAAAAGATACATCGACGAGCGGTTTCAAGACCGAAGAAAACTATTGTAGGAGCCAGAGGGGTGCGCTAGTGACAGTGTTTAGAGTATACTGAATTTATGGAGGGACTATTTCAGCGGTCTGCTAAATAGCAGTGAAGATGGTACAGACATCTATATGGAGAATCCAATCAATGACTATGGGAAGTACGTTCCATTACACCATTTGACGAGGTTCGAACGGTGATTGGCCATTTGAAGAACAATAAAGCTACTAGCACACGGGCAGAGCTATTTAATCGTAGCGGTGAAGAGCTGACACGGTAGATGCTGCAGCTTCTTTGCAGATTGTAGTCGAAAGATAGCTAGCGCCTTAAAGGAAATTTAAGTATTCTTTATCCAATCCATGAACAAGGCGACCCCTCAGCACTGGTAACGGCGTATAGCACAGCCGATGCAACGATTATCTGTAGGAGTTATACGGCCAAATTGACATAGTTCAGCGTATGAAGAGTCAGCGTCCATGCTGGCTAGGTCATACCACCCGAATAGGTCAAAGTATTTCAGCTTTGCTGGTATTGGATGCAGAGGAAGAGGAAGACTCCAGCTCCGTTGAAAGAATCAGATGGAGAGCGAGCTGGTTTCAATTAGTTCTTCAAACTGGCGCCAAACAGCTAAAAAAGGAGATGAACTGATTGTGCTAGAATCGCCTAAACGGTGTATATGCCAATACAAAAGAATAAGTGAAATACTTTTTCGGATGGCCGCAGCGGTTTCATACAATTTTTGCTTCATTGTAAAAGTAAGGTTATGTTACCCAGGCTAACTGCCAAGACATGCTAGCCCTTTAAGAGTGCTTTGTCATCTAGTTTTGACTAGACTACTTTTAGTACAGCGATAGAATAACGAAATAAGTAAAATATACAGTGCAGAGGAATATGATTTACAGCTAATTTTGATATAATTTCGTATACATAAATTTCATTGTGTTGTGTTTATATTGTTTCTGCTTTACTGATGTCTTATGCACACCTATTTTTTTTTTAATAAATATATTTGTACATTCCTATGCTTTATATTTTGCCAATTGAACTCACTTCAAATAAAATTATGTGCCCATTGATAATTTATTTTACAATTGGAAAATGTGTTGAAATCATAAAGAAAACACATAGAACGACATTTAGTAAATATCAATACACATTTATATATAAATATATACAGAGAAAATAAAAAAAATGTACACCGAACAAGGCAGCAATAAATTTGTAAAATTTTAATTTTCAGCTTGCAGTTTATGTTTTTTATGAAAATCCCACGACACTTAGTTAGAACGATAAATCACTAACTTTTTAATTTAAATTCTGTTTTTCGTTATTCCATTTAGATTTATATGTATCATAAGAATTTGTTTAATTAATTTTTTTTTTTTAATATTGAAAATAGTTGAATTTGTTTTTGTTACCTAATACTTCGTGTTATTGATCCAGAATGATGAACACGTATGAATTCATTACTTGTTGTTGCAATATGAAAATATGATTGTTTTTCATTTACAAAAAAGGTGTCAGGTACCCAAATATTTTTAATGAACTCAGATCCAACCGATAGTGTTTCTACACCAGGCCGTTTTCTATACGCTAAACGAGGATCGGTCCAAAATTGACGAAAGTAAAAATCCAATGTAAAGTCCTGATATTTGTTTTTCCAATTTTTTATTTCAAGTTTTTTTTTTTTTTGAGTTTTAATTTTTGGTATTTTGTGATTTGCGGTAAATAGGACGAAATAAGTTGTTGTTGTTGGTTGATTTCGTTGAAGTGGCAAAGTTGATATAATTCAATAGGCGGATGAGCAGTTATTTTGGAGAAAGGAAAAAGATTTTGCAAATTATGCAAAATACAAAGAAAAGAAAATAACAATTAGTATAATATGCGTAGATTTGTGATAAATTTAGGTTATGTATTTTTGTATTGAGAGTTGTAAAGTAAGGTCATTCTAATTAAAATCGTGTAAAATAAGTAGGAAATCCAAAAAAAAAAAATAAATTTGACTACACTATAAATATATTTTATATATGTAAGTGCAAGTAAAAAGCAAAAAAAAAGAATAATAATATTAAAATTTCAAGACAAAAAAATTATAAATAAATGAAAGCAAAATCTAGCACTACCATAATATAGTCGGTACACACAACAACATGCACGTCTATGTATTTAAAGAATAAAATAAAATAAAATAACAATATTATTTATTTTACTATTAAAAAAAATTACACTTTACACTTTCATAAAAACAGACAACTCGTGCAGAAGCATATGCAATGAATATTGTATTTTAAGCACGGAATTTCAAAAATAAATATTTTTTTAAAAAGCAGGCTAGCACGATTTTTTTTTAATAACTGAAAATTAAAAATTTCTGACTTCTTGTGATTAATCGTTTGAGTGGTGTGATAATCGCTTGCTTTATGACAATTTGCTATATATTGATTTAAATGGTTGTCTATGCTATCTAATTTAAATTAATAAAAAAAATTTTGATAGTGAATTTAAAATTTATTAAGTTGGGATCTAATGAATTACTCTTTTCATAATGATTTGGTTTTGGGGACGGTACCACTTCTTTGATTAATTATTATGCAATGAATTATTAACACAGCCAAAATTATTACTTCTTTTACATTCCCAGAATATTTTATTTTAAGGTAAGTTTATTAAAGCAGAAAAAACTACAAACTACTTATAGAGAAATATCTCCTCAATTAATCTTGTGATCTAAAATTAGAAAAATCTAAAAGAAAATAATAATAAAAAAATTCCCTCACCTACAATTTTAAAAACATATTAAACAAAAGAGAGCGAGAAATTTTATTTATAATTTGTCAAAGCTAGATTAATTTTAATTTCCAATATTGATAATTAATAATTAATAATTTTACTCTTATATTAATCTATTTTATCAGTTAATTCATTTTTTATTTGTTTTAACTCAATTTATTCCAACTCAATTTTTTTTAATTAATTTTAGTTTAGTTTAATTAAACTGAGTTCTACTTTTCTTTTTGTAGTTTAGTTTAATATGATTTAATTTTTATTTAGAGGTGAAAGCCCTAGCAGCTAACGCTGTTCTTAGTTATACAATTTTTTATTTTACAATTTAATATAATTATTAAAGAAATAAATTTCAATTTACCTTATTTTATTCGTTCTATACGAAATCAATTTTTTTATTCTAATGTTATTTTTATTTACTTTAATAATTTAATCTTATATTAGTTATCTTTAATTTTGATTATTTTGCTTTAAACTAAATCATTTTATTTAAATTTTTATTACAATTTTATTATAAATTTTGTATTTATTTATTTCGTTTCACTTTGTTGCAATTGATTTTAAAACATATTTGAATTGACTTCAGTTTAATATATCGTAGTTTTGTATAATTTTATTTTATGTAAATTGCGTATATTTTAGAATTATTTTATACAATTTTTAATTTTACTACAATCGGTTTTATATCAAAATAATTATTTTAATTTATACTTTTTTGTGCTGTTTAAATCAATTAACATCGCTTGTCTTGTTTTATATTGTTTTAATTAATTTAAAGTTATGTTAGTTTACTTATTTAAAAAAAAATCACATTTTACGCTTTTCCATATTTTATTTTGAAAAAATTCATTTGGCTTTATTTAGTTTACATTATATAATACTAAATCATTTTTAAATTTAAATCATTTTATTTTATATTAGTTTTTTTAAATAAATTGAGCCTTATTTTATATTATTTTAAATATTTCTTAAGTTTTATATTTTGTCATGTTTTTATTAAATTTTTTAATGTTAAATTTTACATTAATTTAGTTTATTTTGTTTTGTTTTTAAAAATATTTTGTTTTATTTTATTTTATATTATTTTATTTAATTTTACTTTAGTTCATTTTATTTAATTTTATTTAAATTTATTTTTTTTTATTACAATATTTCTTAATTTAAATTCATAAATTTTATTTTATTTATTTATTTTAATTTTATTTTCTCTTATATTGATAAGTTTTATTTTATTTTTTATTTCTTATTTTAGCTTTTTTTTAATTAATTTAATTTATTTATTTTTACTTATTTTGATACCACTGGTTTATGTTATAATGTTAGAAGTATAAGTGCTTTTCTTGAAAATATTATCTTAGTAACAGAATATTTTTTAAAAGAATAAAAATAAAAGCTTTAGAATATGACACTGCTTGGTCTCGTTGAAAATTCAGTTTGTGAAACTTCTTCAAGCTTCATAGTTAACACTTAAATTTGGCGAATAATTTAAACTCATTAGGCTTTTAAAGCTAATTCTCATAAGAGTTTTGTCCGGCGTTAACTCAGAGTTGCGTTTTGTCACAGAAGGCAGTAGTCAATTCTCTAATGGAATAAATGGTAATTAATTCTTATAGAAGAGTAAAAATATCAGTACATTCTAGTTCATATAGCAAAAAGAAATTTTGTCTTATTTTACAAAGTTATTAAACAATAAAAAACATTTTTAGGGTTTCATTGTGTCATATCCTCAGTTAGCTTCACTCTGTAGCCAAGACTTCATCTGTCAAGCAAGGCAAAACAAATTTTATGTGAATCAACCTTGAGCCGTCTGTTCTTTTGGAAAACACACTGCCCAACCCCACTAACCAACCAAGTCGACAGTAAAAAAGTTTATATTAAGTATTTCCACAAAAAAACGGACGAAACGGATTTGAATTTTCTTTTGAAGAAAATGGTTTATTCTTTTAATAACTGCGAGCAGAGTATTAGTTGGGCGGTAGTTTACTTAAATTAAATTTTCAAATTCATTTATTTAATTTTATTTCATTTTAGTCTACACAATTTTTAATTTTTTTTTCTTTTTTAATTTGAATTAAATTTTATTATTCTATTTTTTGTTTTATTTGACTTATTTTTAATTATTTATTTAACTTTGAATGATTTTATGTTTTATTATTTTCTATAATTTTATTGTATTTTATGAACGCTTATTTTAATATTTTTTTTTATTTTATTTTATTTCTACAGGGTTTTCCGATAAGAGGCGCTATTTTGATTTGAAAGTAAACGTTGTTCAGATCAATATCATCCATTTCCGGCCATTAAAAATCATTAATCACCTTTCAATACTTCAATTCATTCAGACCAAAAACGGTGGCAAAGAGTTACACGGTGAGGATGGAGAGATTTCCGATCCACAGATGCGACAGTTGTGTTTATTGGGGTAGCCATCGCGGTGAAAATTGCTCTTCGATGAAATTTTTTTTAATGGATTTTAATAATTACAATGTCTTATTGAGGCGCGTAGCGCTGCATGCTTATTACTAGTAGTTTATACTTGCAAAATGTCAAACAGTTACAGCTGCAGAAGTGACACTACCGTAATAGCAGGCTATTCAAAATAACAACTTTTACAAAAAACCCTTTATGATGTCTTGTCTTATTTCAATATATTTAAATTTATTTAATGTATTTTATTTTTTATGTAAACGTTTCGTTGAGATATTCATAGTTAAGTTTTGTTTTCAATGGATGCTCTTTTTTGGAGATAATCAACTTCTCCTTCCTATGTGAAACACTATTTTCTGCACTATTTACCTAACAAATGAGTTTCTTACTACTCATATGTGTAAATAAATTTTGTACTTAAACCATCGATTCTTGTAGCCTAACATTACTAAAAAACTTTTTTCAATAAAATTCATAATTTTACATCAATAAAGGTAAATTTTTGAATATTTTTCTGCAAAAATCTGATATGTATAACATTGAATTATAATAAAATTGCTTCATTTGGTAATCCCTTCAAATCAAAATTGCCATAACAATGTAGTGATTATATAAATAAACACAAAACTGAACTGAAATGAAGCTAATATGATGTACGTATGTATGTATATGCATGGGGGATTTGTGATGTAATATAATATTCTGTGTGTTTTCACAAACGTTTGCCCTCTTTCAATTTATTTAATGCTCGAGGTTAATTCACAAGGAGTATATTTAGCTTGATATGGTGAGCGTGAGGGTCTAAATATACATATGTATGTATGTATTTATGTATGCTATGTTCAACTTACTCTTTTATGTATTTTTACTTATTTGCTTTACACATTATTATGCGATGATGCGTGCAAAGTTATTGAATAGCGTAATATTGACGGTTTATTTATTAAATATATTTTCTATAAAGACTTTATATGTATTTATTTATATTTAATTACAGTTATAGAGTTACTATTTATGCTCATGTAGTATTCCAATGAATTATTTTCATTTAAATTGAACTTTTTTGGGTATTTTACGCATACTATATATTTATTACATATAATGTATGTATATTGTACATATGTACATATTCTACAATGGAACAATAATTACACCATATACGATACTCATCGCTATGCAGTAAATAGTAAATACAAGAAATTGATTTGGTTTCCACTCGAATTCCTCCATGAAAGCTTACGAAACTAAAATCAGTTAAAATACAACAAAACAAATCGAAAATATAAATGCTTTGAAAATAATTGATAACTTTCGAATATATTTATTAAGGCAAATTATTAGAGAAAAAAAGAATAAATTTATTTTTTTTTTTTGTTTTCGCATGATGAAACCTTACCTTTAACGGTAAAATATAATTATAGTATAAAGGGTTTT